GTGCTTTCGGTTGCCAAGTAGAGGGCCACAAGTGAACCAAGTGAAATCCCAAAAACTCCAACTCTGTCTTCAATCACTTGAGGATGGTCCTTGATGATATTAAATGCAGTCTGTGCAGAGATACATTCCAGGGAATTAATATTATTAACAGAAAAACAGGTCATCTGCATGTTCTGAAAGACGTACTATGTCTAAGCTAAACAAATCTCTAATCAAAAAACTAACAGATTACTGGACAAAACATGGAGAGATTAATCGACAATGGAAATAACCGTTGCTTGCATCCTGAGTTGTATTTGCTCTGAACAATCACACTTAGTTAAACGCCGACTGTCAAAAGCTACATTTCCATTCTATAGATAATTAAATTACAGAAACCTCAGCGTAGCTGAACTCTGGCTGGTCGCAGCCCAAGTAGTCCAGCGACATTGTAGCGTAACCATGGGATGCCAACAAAGCAGAGCGATACTCCATTAGCCCACCACCACCTCCCCAAAGGTCCAGAATCCCGGGGAAAGGTCCTGGACCTGACCAGAGGAGAACCAGTAAGTTATTTCAATGCTAACAAGCATTAATCATGACAAAATCATTTTGTTTCTTGCAACAAACAAGTAACATAACACCAAGCTACTGTTTACACAGACAGACAGAGAGTGCATTTGCAAAGCGGAACAGCTCCAGTGAATTAGTGGTGCTTTGTTTGTTTGGAAGCTACGTTTGGAGATATTACTAAAGTTGTAATGAATATTGTGGTCTTGAGGCCATGTGTGACCACGACCGCGACCATCTGCACATACAACAACAATAAATGAACAATAACAATAAACCTTGGTTCACTCCCAACCTCAGGAAGCTGCTTCAGACCAAGGAGGAGGCCTGAAGAAGTGGGGACCAGGCCCTGTTCAGGCAGGCCAGAAACAGGCTGACAAAGGAGACCAGAGTAGCTAAGAGGAGCTACAGCAAGTGACTAGAAAACAGCCTTTCAGCCAGCGACCCTGCATCAGTTTGGAGAGGGCTGCAGCACATCACCTGCTACAGGAGATCATCCCTCCACCCTGAAGGAATCCTCAGACTTGAGGACGACCCGAACAGCTTCTATTTTGAGAAGCAGTCCTTCACACCTCCCACCCACACAATACAACTCCCTGCAATCCCCCACACCCTTCCCATCTGACCACCCTCTTGCACTAAGGATCTGTGTGGAGGATGTGCATCGACTCTTTCAGAGAAAGAAGATCAGGACCTAGGACCTGTGCTCCGGGACCCGACGGTGTGTCCCCCTCCTACCTCAGAGTCTGTGCTGAACAGCTGGCACCCACCTTCACACGGATCTTTAACCGATCTGTGGAGCTGTGTGAAGTGCCCTCATGCTTCAAACGCTCCACCATCATCCCAGTCCCCAAGAAGCCCTCCATCACAGGATTAGATGACTACAGGCCCATCACACTGACGTCTGTGGTCATTAAAACCTTTGAGAGACTGGTGCTGAGCCACCTGAAGGACATCACAGGCCCCCTGATGGACCCCTGCCGTTTGCCTATTGGGCAAACAGGTCGGTAGATGATGCAGTCAATGTAGGACTG